TAAAAAAATAAAAAACATTTTATTGCGCACCTAAACCCAATGTTGTTTTAATTGAGAAATTTAAATTATTGAACAAAGAAATTCAAATTATCAAATTTGATTGATTTTTGAAATGTGGTACATACTGTTGTTTGTAGTAGGTAATAATAAGGGGCTGCGTTTTAGAGAAATTTAATTTTTACTGTTTTTTAATGAAATTTCACATTCTGTAGATCGGTAACGAAGCGTTTGCGGACCTATGTTTATAGGACTTTTTTTATAAACTGACCTGAGCAATCACTCCCTTAAATATTGCCGCGTCTTTTTTAAACACACTGTATACAAGTAAAGTATTAAATGCAAGTATTAATAAAAGCTTAATATATTTTTTATTTATTAGTTTTTGGGAAAATACTTACCTACTTTCAAAATAGCATTATCATTTTTGTCATGACAAAATGTTTTTAACGTTCATTCGAACAAAAAACTTAATCAGAATGTTACAATTTTTGCCCAAAAAATGCCTGATACTGGAAATTCTTAATCAAAGTACTACTGTTAATGAATGAAATGAATGACATTTGAAGTTAATTCAATTATTTTTGTTCAAATGGACATTCAAAACTTATTGTAATCTTCCCGTATTCCTTGAAACCTTATTAAGAAATTTTGAAATCTTCTTTTAATTTCTAATAATCCTATTGAAATCTTAAATAATCATTGAAATCTACTAAAATAACTGAAATCTCCTGAAATGTTTTGTAATCTGTTGAAAGATATTGTAATATTGTTTATTTATATGAAATTTGTAATCTTTTTTGAATTGATATTGAAATCTTAGATACATTACAAGATATTTCAGAAATTTTGTAATCTTCGTATGTTTTTTCCTTAGCGGATTGCCCTTCGGAACACACCAATCACACTATATAGGTTTCTGTCTAGGTTTTTGTGGCATCCTTTGGAAATTGAGGTAGGGGGGGCGTTGTATAACGACTACATCGACGAAATTGGTTAGCTGATTACACAGATTACAGCGAGGATTACAGATAAGATTACATAGATTACAGATAGATTACATAGATTACAGATAAAATTACGTAGATTACAGATAAAATTTCATAGATTTCAATTTTAAAGAGATTCTTAGATGATTACAAAATTTCAAAAAGATAAATATTAAAACGTCTTAATTACACGGAGATTGCAAAGATTTCAGAAACGATTACATAAGATTCCAGGGCAAACGTACGAAGATTACATCAGCGGATCGCCCCTCGATTTATGTTCAGTTTATATACCTATAATATATTATTAACTATTTTTTTAGTCCTTTCTGATAGCAACATATGCATTATACTCAAAATAGCCATTGTCGCATAGAGGATGGTATTTGTCAAGTAAAATATTTAATTTTTTTAATATTTTTAAGTATACAGGATGACTAACAAACGGTGTCCAAAAATGAAACCTTGTATTCTTTGGTGGTTATATGAAAGATTCTACTTAAAATTCACCAAAGAATACAAAGTTTCATTCGAGGTTTCATTTTTGGTCACCGTTTGTGAATCGCCCAGTATACATATGTACAAAACATGTTCTGTTAAAATTACCTAAAGGTATTGATAAGAAAGTTCCTCTGAAAGTCTTTTTTCAGAAGTTTCATGAAATTCCCTAAAATAGATACACAATGTTGTCTTTCAAAAATACAGTTTTTATGTACCCCCATCTCTTTCACATTGAATAGTTTGTGCGTGATTTTTTTTGTGTAGAACTACAATCTTCGCACCATTCTTGTAGAATATATCTTTTTGTATTTATTTACATGCAAATACAGTATGTACTTTATTTATCAACTTAAAAAGAGATAAAAAATTAAAAATGACAATTTGTAAAAATATGTGAAAATTGTATGTAGCTGTAATAAACTCGTTCTATAAGAATTTGGAACAAAAAATATCCGATGACGTCATCATGCGCAAACAATTGAACGCAGGCAGGCAGAAATAAGTGTCCTATTTGAAAAAAAAAATCAGGACTTTAGGTTTGTTAAATTTGCTAGAACTTTTTTTTAAAAAAAACTGCACATTCACCATCTTATGAATGTTTTGGGAGATATTAGAGCCTTATCAAAGATTAAAAATAATACCTAATGGTCCTTCCGATTAATCAAGAAATTCTAAGCAATTGTAAAAGTAATAAATGCTCAGATACTTAAATGTGTGAAAAAAAATATTTAGGTTCCATTTTCCATTCGTGTTATATATTAATTTTTAATCTGTATTATTATATAGCTTGACCAAATTCATCTCGACCGTTTCGATCCAGTTGCGCACTGGCCTGGCATTGTTACCAGATTAGCACCGGAGCTCACCCTCTGTTTGAACCTAACGACCCACTATTAAGATCCTCCTGTCTTTGTTTCTCCTTCTAGGAAGTCTCATTTTCGAACTTCTTTTGCTCTGCGCACCATCTGGCGAACAAAATAAGTTGGGTCAAGCTCTACCTAGTTCTTATGTAATTGGGTACTAGCCAGTCTTGGCAAATTTTTTCCAAAAAAATTTAAAATCAAGTTTTTTTTAATCTGGTGCATAATTTTGCACTAAATTAATAGTAAAAATACTTATTAGTATACCGATTGTTAAAATATATTTTGTGTTAAATTTGGTTTTGAAGTTGTAGAAGTACCTACCAAATTACATTTTCAATAAATAATTTAACGATTATTGTCATATCTATATTTATCTAAATGCGACTAAATCTGACCCAAAAAATATACACAGCCGTGGGTTATTTAGGTATACCTACGTTAGGTACTACCCTTATGACATCTCAAGAGCCCTTTAGTTTGCAACACTAACGCAACAAAAAACTATCAATTTTTGGTTTCGAACTTCATCAACACAATAAATACACAAGGTATTAATAAATCGTGGTAAGTATAAATAGTGACATTCCTCTTGGTCTAGTAACAAAATAATTAAAATGCAATTGTATAACATCACATATAATTTTTTGGCATCAAAAATGGTTGGTTAAGTAAAGATAAACGAAAATACTATTTAAGTAATACAAAAATGAGTTATTGGTAGGTAGGTACCTACTTGATTATTAATTTTTGGAGAATATGTTTCTCTAAATATGTATAGTGCCAACAAAAACAAAAACCTCAATTACTTTCATTTACGCATCATATACCTATGCGATGTAATGTAAGTCTTATTCAAATATATTCAATATTACTTACTCAAGCCTCAAGCTTATACACTAAATTACTTTTTACTTAAAAGAATTTGTTCCATTACCTGGCGAAATTTGGCTAAATCTGTATCACCCTGTATATGCCTATTTAATTATTGTATAATTACAATCTATTGTTTAAAATTAACAGTAATGGTCATTAAATATCATACTTTCTGCACAAATTCATTAAATTACTGTGTACTATTACACTTAACAAACAAAATTACTTAGGTATTACTTTGTATCTAATTGTAAGTGTAAGTATATAATTAAAATGTTAAACATTTAATCACAAACCTTAAAATTAAAATCAAAATTATACTGATATTAAAAAAAATATTATTAAAAATAAAAAACAAATATTATGTTTATCTGGAAGAACCGATATTTATCGATAATTGTAACGAAACTCGAATCCACGAATCGTACGAATGTGTTATATAATTCGTCCTCTAAAAAATTATTCATTTCCTACGTTCCTACCATATCGTAGCTACTTATCATAACAGTTAAGTATTTGTCAATAAACGGTTCGTACCTGGTACATTTTTATCGGTGCGTTATTTAACGTCCAGGATTTCTTAGAATATCGAATAATTTTACGATAAATGTTGCAAAAACTTTGCGACTTACTTACTGATTATTAGTAAAACATACAAATATTTCAATAGTCCCTCTAATGGAACTAAAAGTAGAATTGGACAAATGCAATTACTTAAATGAAACTATATCTAAAATTAATCAACAATAAATTAGATAGCAAGGATTTCATAATTTTTATCACAAATGGCAAACACTTATATTTGAATGTATACATAAGTTGGTGATATTGGCAGACTGATTGGCTGTAACAATTTAAAACTTGTGTGTATATTTATCAATCTCGAAAGTACACAAGTAGCACATAATATTTGTATTAAAAATGCATGAACATAAAGACTGTTTAAATCTATGAAAGCTCCAAAAGAACAACAATTAAAAAACTCGTAAAAATGATGAGGTTTAGAACATAAACAAAACGATTTATTTAGGATTTATGTAAAATTCTAACTAAACAAACGTTTGTCTACATAAAAATTAAAACTTTTAAACAAGAAGGGAATAATTTCATACATAAAATGTGAAAGAAATAGTATCAAACAATAGAAATTAATGTTTTAAAAACCATTCTGTTACCTTGTGTGGATGTCAAAACAGAAGCTACCGCTGAAAATATCAAACTACATCTTAAAAAGTACACATTGTAATAGGTTCTAGACATTTTCAAAATCACTATTTAATAAAACCACTACTTTTTGTTACATAACACCCATTTTGATAATTATTATCACAACAACAACCGTTTCGTTCTCTCGCTATTGCACCTCTTGTCAAACTCGATCGTAACCAGACGACGCCATTTTGACTAATCGGCATTCCGAATTTTCAACTCATATGAAAACGAAAACAATAATGGAGTGGGAGGCCGATCAGTCACTTTCTACAAAATCTACAAATATGACCCTATTGCCATCTACCATTTTATTCGCCAATTTTAAGGAACTGGCTAAAGTAGCGGTATATTTGTTTTTATGGATTTACATCTTTGCAACAGATGCTACTATATTTCAAAGAACAAAATACTTTGCGAGCAGCGTGGAGTAGGACATTCACATACACATTCTATAACTCATTTTTATAAATATTTTTTGCTATAATTGAGTAACAACATTGTTAATATAACTCTGTACTTTACCCACTTCCACTGCCTATGTCAATAACCTAGAAAAAAGTGTCAAATGCTCAAATGTCATGTCACTTATTTTCAATAAAATTTGGTTTCATTAAGTTACGGTCTAGAAAAATGGAATAAAATATAAATTATTTAAATATTGTGTAGTATTTTGGTAGTGCAATTGTTATACACTAGTTTTTAAACATGATTAAAGCTATTCTTGTATTTAATAACCATGGCAAACCTAGGTTATCAAAATTCTATCAGTACTTTGTAAGTAGAAATTTTTATATATACAGAAATTAATTTATTATTTTTAGCCAGAAGATATGCAGCAACAAATCATCAAAGAAACTTTTCAATTAGTGTCGAAAAGAGATGATAATGTTTGCAATTTTTTGGAAGGTGGCAGGTATTTATATAGATTATATCTACACCTTTGTTTTCCAACTTATGTTTTTTTATTTCAGTTTGATTGGAGGCAGTGATTATAAACTAATATATCGTCACTATGCAACCCTATACTTTGTTTTTTGTGTGGATTCTTCAGAAAGTGAATTGGGGATATTAGATTTAATTCAGGTTTTCGTCGAAACTTTGGATAAATGTTTTGAAAATGTCTGTGAGCTTGATTTAATTTTTCACGTAGATAAAGTGCATTACATTCTTAATGAACTTGTTATGGGCGGTATGGTTTTAGAGACCAACATGACTGAAATTTTGACTAGAATAGAAGATCAAAATAAATTAGAGAAACAGGAGGTAAGTAACTGCAATTATTATAAGTTAGCTGCATGCTTCATTTGAATCTCGTATAATTTTTTATTTGCCACGTTGTTTGAATTTTTTTTATATTTAATTTTTGTAGCTTTGGACTAGCCTCGATAAAGTAGAGTCAGGCTTACAATTAATCTATTCCAGTCATTTTCAGTAAGTTCTTTAAATGTTCAGGGAGAATATATATATAATTGTCTAAAAATTGTAATCTGCTTATCTGCTTATTTAGATCTGTAGTACAGAATTATAACCATTTGAAGTCTGTGCTGCTAATCATCCTGACAATAAGAGAGTTGCCTTAGAAAAAATGTATGAAGTGTAAATTTTGCTTTTTTTTATTATCTTGAGTATGTCATACATAATTGGGTAGTAGTATGTATAAATTATAAAATCTTTGTTATTTTAATTTGTAAATAAAGAAGATATCCTTTGAGGGCTTTGTCGAGGAATAAGCCACTATTAAAATTTGTACACTGAACTTTTAAAAGTATACTTTTTCTAGTAGGAACATCCATCATATTCGTAAGAAATTCCCTGAATCTTTTAATATACTATATTCTTCCTGACCGATTTCTTGACCTCTTCTGCTTCACTGATATCATGTACTTACCATACCATACAACCTATCGGGTTGTCAAGTTGCAAATGTGTCTATTGATTGTAAGTTGCAAATGTGTCTATTGATTGTATAATTAATTATATTGGATGCTTATTTTAGAGAGTCTTCAGACTGTTATTAATAGTGATAACTGATTTACAATTAGCGTTGTCCTGTTGAAAAATTACTTTATCATGTCTTTGCTCTAATTGCAGCTATTTATCCTACAATGTATGGCTCAAACGCATGATTTGTGTTCGGTAGCATTCACCAATGATGGTTTCATTCGGTTGAAGCAGTTTATAGTACCAAGCTGGTCCCACCAAATAAAAAGCATGAGCGAACCAGCCTTGCCGTTAATGTTGATGCATTGCCAGGCAAACACCACCATTTTCTATGCTTAAGATTATCATAACGTATCCATTTTTCATCGCCAGTTACGATACGATGCAAAGAATTTTTTCTTTTTTGCCGTTGAAGCAATTGGTCACACGGGAAAAATTGCCACACAATATCTCTCGGCTTCAATTCGTATGGTCTTGCTTTTGAATTGTACCGAGTGTATTTAAACATTTGGAAACTGTTGTGTTATCAACATTCAGCAAATTCATCTTGCGTTTGACATTAATCTTGGCCAAGTAATGCTTCCAATTCCCCATCTCCAAACTTTTTCGGTTGATCAGGGTATTCTTTGTCTTACTGTATCGAAAGCATCACTTCTAAAACATCAAAACCAATACTTACATGTTTTTTTCAATGGAATATAAGTTTTCAACAGCACTCTATGACTTTCAGCAGCATTTTTCTTTGAATTAAACCAGAAAAGTAAAACTTCCCGCAAATGGTGTTTTATTGGCTCATAATTCGTCATCTTCAGAGCTAAGAAAAAATGTGTAATTTACACTTCAGTAAAATGATGCATAATAAAAAGTAAAGCTTAATCATTTACTTTTACATGCATAGTTACAAATATATCCAAAGCGATATGGCATAAGTAAATCCCTCAAAATTAATTCACAATCCTAGTAAGTATTTAAAGTATTCCTTACTCTGTGCGATGTGGTTGGAGGGCATTTTGTTTTGTTTAAAGCTTGTCTCGTCTTCATATTTTTCTTCTACCTCGTGTCTTTTTAAAAATATTCAGATTAAGAATCTTGAGTAAACTATTCTAGAATATGTTGCCAAATTGAAACAGGAGATAAAATTGTTCATTTTAAGCCTAAACGTGTCTGTAAGAGCATTTCTGATAAGAAAAAAAGATTCTTGTTTGATACTGATATCCTGCAGTAAGTGTAGGTATTTGTTATTGCACATTAAAGAAATTATCTTTGAAAATCAAGTGCCATCGATTGCTTTAAAGTTTTGCTGATACATTGTACCAATTAATAAAAAGGAATAAGTTGATAATATTGTTGCTAAAATCCGTTGTTTCCTAAATAAGGGTTTGCTTTTTTTTCTCTTGGATTGTAAACAGTGACCCATTGATCTGATTTTAAAAAGTTTTAGCTTCACTTTTGTTTTTAATTTTATTGGTATCAGTAAAAATTAAGAGCAACCCGTGGCAACTTTTGATTTTCCCAATCTAATTTCTTAAAAATTTATAGCCAATTTTCTATAAAACGTGCACATTTTCAATATTAGGCAAAGGTAGGTACCTACCTATTTTCGTACCATTTCAGGTAAAATATACAGCGTGTTCCTAAATAAGTGTCGCAACGGAAAACTGTAAATTCCTCTTGAAAAGAGAAACAATTTTTTCCTCTTCCATTTTTCTCTCCAGGCTTTTGTTTTCGAGATATACAGTGACAAAACTTTTTTTCAGATTTTTGCCAATATCTTAGAAACCGCTTGAACTACAGGACTGAGCTTTTGTACACACATTACCACTATTAATAGCTACTTGTTGCAAATGCTGTTAAATTTCGTTGAAATTTTTAATTATTACTACCCATCTTTTAAATTACAAAAGATTTTCGAAATGTTAGCAAAATGTTTGTTTTTGTTCATAAAAAGTCATTTTTCTTGAAAACGGTTGACTTTACAGCAATGAACCAAGAGAACTCTTTTTCTGTAAAATTCATTGGCACTTCAGAATTTGCGGTCAAATGTTATTTTTTCCAGTGGCGTAAAAGTTAGGGGGGAAAAACCCTTACGATACCTTAAAATCTCCACCACTGGCACGTTGAATGAATTCGAGAAGGGTGTGAAAAAGTAGCTATTAATAGTGGTAATCCGTATACAAAAACTCAGTCCAGTAGTTCAAACGGTTTCTAAGATATTGGCAAAAAATTTAAAAAAAAATTAAAGTTTTGACACTGTATCTCGAAAACGAAAGCCCGGAGAAAAAAATGGAAGAGGAAAAGAATGTTTCTTTTATCAAGAGGAATTTACAGTTTTCCGTTGCGACACTTATTTAGGAACACCCTGTATAGTAATTTTTATGAGGAAGAATAACTTGATTATCCACTTCTCTTATTATTCTCTTATTATCTCCATGCAATTATTGTAGTCTACCTAAAGACTACTCTCATTTAAGAAAGTATGATTTTTAGCAACATAATTTTATGACTATCTTTTCTACTAAACATTTTTGGACTTATATTCATAGGAAATTTTTATGTTAAATGACATGTTCGAAGATATTTTCTACCTCCTGTTTCAGTTTGAATACATATTTTAGAATAGTTCTGTTTTTCACAGTTATACTTTTATATTTCTTTAACGACACTTCAGGAATGAAATATTTATAAAGATTTAGTAGATGACACAATTTTTTTTAGGCTGGAATAGCCGCAGCACCAGCACGAGCTGTGTCGGCTGTGAAGAACATGAACATTCCACAACAGATCAAAGACATAAAATTGCCTGACCTCCCGCAAGCAATAAAGGACCTCAAGTTCTGACCTCAAGTAGCCAATCAGTTTCAGAACATTGACATTTCCCACCTCCACTTGCCTGGCGATTCAAAGTCTTTGTTAGAAGAACCGTCATCGGCAAAGTATACTTGATATTTCCCCATCAAACGGAAATAGCAAAGTGTTAACTAAATTTTATTCTTTATTTCTACAAGGTAGAAATATTGACTATTAATAATATTGGTGATTAATTGTTATCGTTCGATTGTATATAAATGTGTCGGTATTGTTTTAGGGGAAGCTCCATGGATTGCGTAATTTTACAGAGTTGTAACTTAAACTGTTAAAAAACTTTTGTTTCAATGTTTTTAAAATTCTAACATGGGGATGGATTGTTCTAGGTGCACAGATTTCAGATATAGTTCATTAAAAAGCAGAGGCGGGATGCATCGAATACTAAGCAATTAGTTTTGTGAATCAACAACAGCTATTATATTATATGTTGCTAATTCACAGATATTCTTTCCTTGATATTCAGGGAATACTACATGTTTGGTGTCGGTTTTACAATGCTTTGACAAACACGCAACAAATATGTTGATTCCTTTATTACAATTCAGACACATTTTATTATATAATTTCCTGTTTTGCATATCAAAAAAACTGAATCGGTTCTTTTAGATATTTTTTATGATTTTGAATGAATGCAGTAAACAATTTCTTATTTCATAAAATAACACAATTATTGTAAAAATTAAATAATTGAACAATGAAGTTGAACATAATTACAGTGGCGGACTCGAGTGGACTAAATTTTATAAACTGCTGGTGACAGATTTTTTTTGTACCTATTTAGATAAGCTACTCATAAATTAATTGTGCATAATATATTGTATAAATATTTTTCTCCACCTTATTTGATAGAAAATATTCCTGTTTCTTTTTTAAATAAATGTAATATTTATTATGTAATAACAATTATTTCAAATAATTAAAAAAAAAATTCTAGCTATTCTGCATACTTTTTTTGTACATGTATCTAGTGGTGGCTCTTGACTGCCATACCAGGGAGGGCAGAAAAATTTAGGTACAAAGTATTGAAAATAAAATATAATTAGGTAGTTTTATTTTAAATGTTATTGAAATATAGGAAAAATGTGCTCAAATTTATTTTTTATAGTGAAAGTCCATTCCACGGCTTTTGTGCAAAACAAACTTCAATTACTTTTTGTTAAAATTTGGTGTTGTTAGTCTGTTTTTACAATCTAATTTAAACCTTTACAATCTTTTCAAAAACACAAGAAACAATACGTAGGTAACAAAATTTTACACTACACTTAAATGAATTATGTTTAATAAAAAAAAAAAAGCGGTGAATAGCTATTATTTGGTTACGGGCGACCTAAACAGAGCCCAAACTGCATAGTAAATAAGCGCTACTCCCATTCTGTCTCACTATTGCACGACGATAACCATGACTACCGCTGTAAGCACTACAGATTTAGGAGCGGTCCACGAGCAGGCTACATATTCAGTGTTTTTCAAATTAATTTTGCAAGTTGTGTTAAATTGACTGCACATTACAAATTAAATGTTGCAAAATATCCAATAAATAGAGAAAAAGAAAACAAAACTATCTCACTGGGGTTGTTTGCCATTTAACACTCCCGCTGCCAATAACTTTGAAATGAAGAAATTTATTTTAGTTTCCAAAACTGGGGTTAGGTCCCTCGAATAGCTTCAAATTGCAGTTAGAATTGTTAGTTCAAATCTTTCTCTATAAATGGTGTGTCGATTCTAAAAATTTTTTTGATCCCTGGAATGTGGAAATGCAGTCCATCTGAAAGATCGTTAAATTTTGAGTAATTTTTGTAATATAAAGTTTTTCCCTATATTTACTTGTTTTCGATATATGCCGACTTCAATATGCAATGTGTGATGTAACAGGAAAATCTATTATTTTATTTACATCACACGGAGACAAAATATTCTTTTAAAATATTGTTATAATGGCTTTATTCACATCACATACTAACTCACAAACAATAAATTATAAAAAAACGAATGATCAACTACAGAAAACAAATTGTACAACGGTAAATCTTATAAGCGGCAAGAGACGAACCGTATTTTATCAAATATTAAAAAATGCAGTCATAGGTGGCTCATGTCATTTGTTTAAAATAAAACATGTATGACAGATATCAGTTTTCCAATACATAATTACAGTTTTATCAGCTTGCGTCTTTCAACATAACTATAGGTATTAGTTATAAAATTTACCATTGCACAATTTTTTTTTCTGTAGTTGATCATTTGCTTTTTAAAATTTATTGTTTGTTAATTAGTATGTAGTGCAAATAAAATTATAACAATATTTTAAAATAATATTTTGTCGGTGTGATTTAGATAAAATAATAGATTTTCTTGTTACAGCATACATTGCATATTGAAGTGGACATGTCTCGAAAACAATTAAATATTGGAAAAAAACTTTATATTAGAAAAATTACTCAAAATTTAAGGATCTTTCAGATGGACTGCATTTCCACGTTCCAGGGAACAAAAAATTTTTTAGTATCACCACACCATCTATACAGAAAGATTTGAACTAACAGTTCTAACTACAATTTGCTATTCGAGGGACCTAACCCCAGTTTTGGAAACTAAAATAAATTTCTTCATTTCAAAGTTATTGGCAGCGGGAGTGTTAAATGGCACACCCTGTATATCCATTTCATTATAGTCAGTTTACCGTAAAGAGTAAAGTAAAAAGTGAACAGGAACCTATTTATCACAATGTTGTGTCTTCTGTATGATCCACCATTATGGCCTTTAAAATGAAAATTCTCGTAACCCACGATGGTACAATTTTACACGAGAAACAAAAACTGAATTGTTTTCAAATAAACAAGTTTTTAGTAAAAAATCAAGTGCCTGTATATTAAATATACAGTCCTTGTACGATAATTGTTGAGATAGAATTCCAAGAAAAAAATAAGCCAATAAAGTTCTGTTATCAAAACTACTCCAACAATTTACCACGGCAGGGTCGTGTCTTGAAATTTTCTGCCAATGTCTTTTTACCTTGAGTGTCGATTCTCACCGACAATCAGCATGGATTTCGTGCAGGCAAATCTACGACTACAGCTGTACACTCATTATATGAGAAAATTTTAAACTTTTTGGAAAACGGCGAGTGTCCTGTTGGGATCTTTTGCGATCTCAGCAGGGCATTCGATTGTGTTAATCATGAAATTTTAATATCAAAATTAAATAACTACGGTATTCGAGGACCCGCATTAAATTGGATGGAAGCAATTTGTAAGCATAAATTATAATAATCTGAATGTTTGTGGTAAATATAACTCGGAATGCTCTTTGGTAACGTTGGGTGTACCACAGGGATCTGTTTTGGGCCCTGTGTTATTTTTACTATATACAAATGATATCGATACTCTCTCACCTAATACTCATTTTACCATGTACGCTGATGATACGTCTTTAGTAATATCTAATAAGTCAAATCGAACCTTAAAACTTGAATGTGATATTTTATTGAACAACTTAAGTAACTGGTTTGCCCAAAATTCATTACATTTTAATATTGATAAAACTCAAGCACTTCGATTCTGCACTACTCAAAATAGAAACTGTGAAACATTAAATTTGAATATTAATAGAGTTCTTTACCTACTGATTCTGTGACAGTAAAATTTTTAGGTCTAAATTTGGACACAAACCTTAACTGGAAATGTAACTGTAAAAATATAATATCAAAATTGTCTTCAATAACTTATTTATTTCGAAATATTAGAACAGTCCTAAGTACCGATCAACTCCTTTGTTTATACTATGCCCAAGTTGAATCCCGATTGAGATATGGTGTTTGTTTCTGGGGTAATTCAACTCTCTCGTCCCATGTTTTTATTGCGCAGAAACGTATTTTAAGATGTATGTTTGGTGTTTCAAGTACACATTCTTGTAGAAATATATTTAAACATTATAGAATCCTCACGTTGTCAGGCATTTATATTTTTGAAATATGTGTAGTATACATATTTAAACACAAAAGCAAATTTGTGATAAATAACGAGTATCACAATGTCAATACCAGACAAAAACATAATTTTCATGTGCCATTTGCACGATTAAATTTAAGTACTCGTTCTCCAAACTTTGTAGGGCCTAAAATATTTAATTGTTTACCTGTGGAACTGAAAAATGTAAATAATGAGTTTTTATTCAAAACAAAATTGAAACAATATTTAATAAATAAGTGTTTGTATTCCGCATTAGAGTTCTGTCCTTCAATGTAATTTATGTTTGTGTTTGTATGACTATTCCTATACATGTTGTTCATGTCTAAAAGGAAAATAAATTATTATTATTATTATTGTTATTATTATTATTACTATTATTATCGCGGCGGAGGCGTGCCTTGAAATTTTCCGCCAATGTTCATCTACTTCGGATGTCAAATACAGTCAATTCCAAGAAAATGACGCAGGGATCTTCTTGGAAATCTCAACAAATATCGTATGGACTGTACACAAGGTGTCCCAGAAATTAATGTGAAAATCTTAAGCATATATTTGAGTTATCGAAAGCAACAATTTTTACATACACATAGGTTTTGTGGAGTGATTCGTTATCTTAAAATTGCTATACTTCCTGTTTATTATTAAGTCAAATACTTATCCAACAATAAATATTTTAAATTTATGGAAGTTAAATCATATTAAAAATTAAGATGTCTTCAAAAAATATATATTTTATTTATAGACAAGACAGTGGCTTGTCGGAATATATGCAGCTTCTTTATCTTTAAAAGGCTGATCAACATTTTGCCTTTTTATGTTAGCTTTGGGTAAATATTACACCATGTAAACTTTCCGCCTATCCAAGGAACTAGAAAAATAACTTTTAGAAAATAGTGGGTTACTAGGTTTTACATTATAAGTAATGATTAGTTGTACTTTTCAGAAGTTAACAGTTTCAGACTTTGTTGAATATGTAGGTAGGTACTTAGCTAATCAGTGTAGCGGTATACTAAAAAGTAGATCGGTGTATGTACTACAATATTATTTATTGAGATTTCGATTTAATTATACAAAAATATTAGTTCCTAATCTATGATTGCATATGTTATTATTGCACAAAAACTACACAAAACATTAAAAAATATATGAGGAAGAAAAGATGTACAAAATAAATTAATTATCTTCAGGTTCTTGAAGCTCTTTATTTTCCTGAAAAAAAAAAAAAAAAAAATTTAATGCATTAAATCAGAAGAACAAGACAATATTAAAAAATAAGTGGGCACTTATCGTAACTTTAGTAATCCGAAAAAGTATAATTATAGTGTAAAAATTAATCATGATTGTCTATATACTTACTTTAAGTCGTTTACCATGGATGGAATAGAATGTTACGTTACAAGTCGACTTTTGACCCGTGTTTTGATTAAATACTGAACATCGATTATAAGGAGGGCAATACAAGTGTAGACTTATGGCAGTATCAATGCTGGACACATTTTCAACACGATGGAGACCAATAGAATCTGTAATAAATTAAAATAATTTAATATAATTTTTTAAGAGGTGGAATATAAGAGGAAAGGTATGATATCGTTGGAATATACAAAGAATATCCAACATTGCGTCTTAGATCACTTTTGGGACCAAGTAAACTTGATTTCTTTAACCTATGCATGCATGATTGTTTAGTCAGTGTTTATTCCTTATGATATATTTAAATGTATACAAACATTTAATTCAAAGTTATGTAAAAACATCTAGAAAAATTTTATCCAGGGTTCAAAATAACACGGTGATACTTTTGTCCTGATTATACTATTATGTCACGTTAATTATTCCTTATTTACATGGTTTTTTACTTAAACCATTTTCAGGTTTCTGAATATGCAGAAGAGCAGGACAGATTGTGGATTAGATAATCTAAGAATTATAGACTTTATTCACCCCTTCCTTGTCTCTCCCATATTCCGTGTTGATTATTTCTAATTTAATCAGTTGTGTAGTGAGTTTATGTTCTTATCTTTATTCAAGAAGGACAGGGTCTGTATATTACAGACTGCAAACTACAGTTGTAAAAAATCATTCAACAATTGACTGATGACAAAGCATATGCCAAGAGCTGTACATACGATAAATTAAAAACACATGGCCTCAAATACAATTTTCAAAAGAAATTTAAGATCTTAGTCTATTACACAAGAAATTCTCTAAGCTAGTTTGTTACACAGAGAGCGCAAAGAAAGACTCAGGATTCGGAGTCGGGATTTATGGAGCTAAGAAAAAGATTAAAGCACATAGGTCATTCTAGTTTGTGACAGTCATTGAATACAGTTCAACGGAGTTAATAGGGAGGAACCCTACTACTGTGACAGTCAAAAAGTACTAATGACAATCAGTTCATACTTGATCAAAACCAGTATAGAGTTGTTTGAATGCTTTGGAAGACTAGAAAGTCAGAACGACCTGGCTCTATTGTGGGTATGAGGTATGAAGGATTTCGGGGCAAATAATATATAATTTCTAGCTGTGTTATTAAGACACTCATGAATATCAGACGAAAGACATGTTAGCAAGAAACCGCGAGATTGAGGCAAGCCTTTAGACCGCTTAGAAGGTATCAAAAGGGTTAATAGCAAACTTACTCAACTAAAGTTGCGGATCAATAATGATATTATAGTAGCCGGACTGCTTACAGGGCATTGTAAACTTAGAAAACATCTATCGCCTGGAGGAATCGCATGTATTGTACAGATGTGAATGTGAAGGCCTGGCAAACAGAGCAGAAGGAGCTATTATCAAAATTAATTGTGAAGTCTAATCTAAAGTTAAATGAAGAGCTCTAGGATCGTGGGAGGCTTCGAATAGAACCATGGTTAGTTGCAAGGAAAAGTATCTACAAACAACAATATTAAATATATAACTTAAAATAAAAAAATAATAATTTACAATTAACTATTTTTTTTTTAAATAAAATATAATAAATTTCTTTCTTTGAAATACAATTAGGAAACAAATCAATTGCATTTTTAAAACCCTTATAGTGGCGCCTAAAAAATGTGGCTTGCCAGTTGCAGTATCTTCTATCTCTGCCACTATTTCATATAATTACACAAATTCATTGAATTTAATTTTCATTAAGGATAAGTCGCCAGACAAGTTTTATTTATATGCATCAAACATTTCTTTATCAAAAAACATTAATAAAGCCTAACATCCTTTATCTTGAAAACTACGTCGTTTATGTTGCTGAAAATTTTATCTTTTCTTCTGCATTTTGGTAAGGACTTCCAAAAATTAAATAGGTATAAAAGGGGCAAGAGGAAAACAACTTTGATTTGGATCCTTATTTTCAAATGGAACAAACAGTTTAACTAAGAACAATTGAAATTAAATATTACTGTACTGCGTTCTTAGATGTGTCTATACCATACCTAAAAATAAGGAAAAGAACTTTCATTAGTTCTCACTAAGGCTGTCGGAGATAGCCGCTATTCAATGGCGTGCCAAGCAGGTCAACCGACACATACGTGAGTCGCTGCCTCAGAATGCTTTTCACGTTCACGTCACGTTAGTATACTGTTGCTTTATTATCGTGCGGATGTTGCGTAATTAATTCATATCCGTTAGAGATTATAGTGGTGTATTCTACACAATTTAATTTGTTGCTTCTTAATAAATAATACGTACGCCTATACCCGCGGCTCAGTTCTGGCAGCACTAGTTATAACTCATTCTAATCCAACTATTTCTTACCTTAAAGTCGTTGTTACAGCAATTTTAATAATACAAATTCAAAATAAATTAAAACTAAAATCGTAAACATCTAAAATTTTAATTTTGGTAAAGAATCTCCCAAAAATTAAATTGGTATAAGTGGAGCAAGAGGAAAACAACTTTTATTTGGATGTTTTTTCAAATTGAACAAACAATTTAACTAAAAACAATTTATAGATACCTATAGCTACATTGCTCCATACAATACTTTTTGTTTAAAAGCATGAATCTTTATATCATACCAATATGTTTGTAGTAAATATTTACTATTTTATTTTATTACTTTCTGCTTCATTAAAAAGTAGTGACTAGGGTTTGTAACGAAAAGTATAGTCATAAAACAACCTACCATTAATGTATGTTACTTCATTAATGTTCAGACGGTTTCTTTCTGTTTCTTTCAACTCTCCATTCGGTTTTTCTGGCCACGCGAATCTGATTTCTTCTAAAGACCCTTGAAGCATCTTCATGAAGCAATGGGAATTTGCATGGTCATGAATCGCTGATCCGTGACCTTCACCCCAACAAAGCGTCATCAAGTTGTACTTCCCATTGCCCTCGTCAATTAAGTTTCTGGCATATCTGAAAAGTTACATTCAAATTAATTTTATTAATATATTGTCACCAGTCATAAATATATCTAATATTTTTATAGAAAACTACAATTAAAAGCTAAGTGAACCTAAAACATAGCCGAATGGTACCTACATCAATAAATTTGAGAAACGATTAGAAAAAGCATATAGTATATTATTAGAGACTTTTCATTTGATGGTTACAAGAAGACCACGAACCGTTAAATCTGAATACCTTGATCACGAAAACCTAGACACAATACTCGTACATTGAAAAAATTGAAGAAAAAAGTTGGGGATTCTTGGTGATAGTTCTTGCTGACTTTAGAAAGACTACGCACTGAAAACTTCACCATAATAAATCTGAGTACCTTGATCACGAAAACCTAGACACAATACCTGTACATTGAAAAAATTGAAGAAAAAAGTTGGGGACTCTTGGTGATAGTTGACTTTAGGAATACTACGCACTGAAACTTCGCCATAATATCTCTCGACTATTCTCGTTTGTAGGTTCACTGGATTAGATACTATACAGATTTTCCAGGTTAAATATTACTCGATGATACTCGACTAGAATAACATCAACCATAGGTATTTTAAATTGAAACGAATCTAAAATTGTTTTGTAGTACCATACTACACTACTACTATTCAAGAGTTTCAAAAGTTTTTCAAAAATTTGCAGTTTAGGTTTAAGATTTTTGGGATCAAGGTATTCATGGTTTATACTCTTTCTGTAGTCGCCAATACTGATAACTAAAGGTCCTCTTATGTACCTAGAATTTAGGTTGAAGGTTACTAGGTTCAATATATTAGTTAATAATTGTGGAGTACCTACCAGTGTGTTTTTTTATTATTTCTATACGAACAGGGACCTGCTAAACATATTGATATTTGAAAATTCAAAATGATTTTTCATTCCCTTCAGCCAGCTTAGAACTAGTCTTTTCACTAGATTTATTTTTAAAAAGCATATGCTATTATTAGATCTTGTTTTTTATTCTATTTTAAATGTATCAAGCTAATTTAAATAAATTCAAAACATTTTTTCTAAAAAAAATCCGTTTAAATGAAGTCAAACGATGTTCTTCGATACCAAAAATCTAGATATGCAAAAGATATCTAATGTTCATATAATATGGGAGGGTTTTCTATTGAATTGTTTATATTTACTATGTAATTCTGGTCAGGCTGGGGTTTAGGGGGGGGGGGGGGAAGGACTATGTGGGCTACAGCCCGGACCTCAAGAGAACGGGGGGCCTTGGCAAGATCTGGCAAAATGAAAGCAAAAAGTATTAGGTTTTGCTTTTTTTTTCGAATCTAACCAAAAAGTGTTTAGATTTTCAAATTTTATATCGGCAAGTAGCTCATTGCGTGACTTTTTTTTAACCCAAAAGTGTTTAATTTTTGCAATTTTATATCGGCAATTCGCTGAATTCGTGACCTTTTTTTTACCAAATAGTGTTTAGAATTAAAAATTTTATATCGGCAAGTCGCTGATTGCGTGAATTTTTTTTCAATCAAACCAAAAAGTGTTTTTAGTTTTTTTTTTAGAATAAAACCAAAAAGTGTATCTAGGTTTTGAAATTTTATACCTATCGGCAAGTCGCTCTGATTGCGTGACCTTTTTTTAACCAAAAATGGAGTACCTAAAAATATACTTTACATTCCATTTTATTAGAAACACGCGTTATGAGTTTGTAAATTGTTTTTCTATAAATATACACGTGGTTTTTCGCATGTGCCGGTAAATAAAAATTATCTCAGGACCAATTTCATAATTTTGAAAATTTTCAACCAAACATAAATTAATTCTCATAAATGGTTCAAAAGTTTTTGTGAAATTTACGGGACATTCCAATTTCCCTGTAGGTATAGGTAATAATGAAAAACGAATTGTTTGCAAAAAATAGTTTGTTAGTGGAAAGCTTTTAGTTTATTTATTGAATTAGAAATATTTATGATAAATATATAGGTACGTAAATAGGGCTTAGTCCGCAGAGTAGTTGTTTCGCACAAAATTACTAGTTATTAATTAATATGTTTTTGTAGTTCCTTTTTTGTATACCTAAATACTCTTATCAAAAAACGGATGTGACTTCATCTGAAGAGAAATTTAGGAAATTTTTTAGACTCGAATTAGATTAACATTTCTTAAAGTGTAGTTAAAAAAAAAAACGTTAATTTTTTATCGTTTGCTTTATTTAAAGGATCGGGGCATTTTTCCTGTATTTTTCTAGAAATGTAACGAATAACGAACGATAATAATGATTAAACTTTAAATATTAACTTTGTTATCTTGTGACATTGTAATCACTGATCTGCATATGGCATATACGCACACAAGCAGATAAAATGAAGAAAATAATTATTGACCGTTTAAGAATATTTCCTATAAGGCAACTGTTTAGCCTTGCATGTGTTACCAAGAAGCAAAAGTAATTGCAATACCTCATGGGTATAAAGTACTAATTGTATTATAATACAATACATATATAAAAATATATCTATTTAGTTACCACAGTTCGAAATTAATTTTTTTGATAGTAGAAAATCATAACGGTAATAATAAATTGCCTGTAGAAGTAACAGATTATTTATTAGTGTTTTGTATCTTATTAAATGAAGGAGAAAGACACATTAATTTTTATTTCCACCCTGAAGAAAAGAAAACTTATTGCATACAATAAACCAAATTTTATAAAGCATGTTTAAAAGGATTTGATGACACTTGTAGTGATTTTTAGTTTTGCAGATATGAGAATACGGATTCAAATAAACATATACAGGAATATGGGTTCAAATAAAAAATCCAAATTTTTATACGTACCACCTTTTTGTTTCACCTTGTAGTAATTTATATAAATTACTACAGGGTGACGCAAAAACAAAGTTTAATACTATAATAGGTAAAAGATATACTAACATAGAATTTTATAGATACCTGACTTGGTTGTATAAATATGTACCAAATACCTATTTGCATTTTTAAAAATACATTCTTAAGTAGATCACTGAAATTTCTACGAAACAAACAAATATTGTGAATATTTACATTCCGTATGACCTTATTTGGATAAACGATATTGTTATTGTCAAACTATGTGCGTCGATTAAACATCTTGTTTTAAGTTTACTTTGTGTTAAATATGTAAATTTCGCACTGATTTTCTAAAGGAAAATGATCTGGTTTATTGCACCTAAGATATTCTTGTTATTGAAAAAAAATATTTACTTATAATACTTAAAAAAAGTAGGGACATGATATATTAAATTAAAATTTTATGGACGATATTATCTTTTCCGTTGTCCCGGTTGTCAAATTGAGTTTGACTTATTATTTTTGTAATTGTAAGTAAGTTTTAGTTTTTTATGTTGGATGACAAACCTTTATCATAATGATAATCGTTGGATAATAATCAGGTGCGCATGGGTTTTTCCCAAACTACATTTTATGATCATTTATTGTTGAAGTAAGTTCATAGTTCAGTAAATATTCTAAATCTTTTTCTAAAAGGAAATATTAGATATACATTTGTTTAATTTTTGAAATTAGAATTAGAATAATTGAATTCAATCATATTATCACTCTGTGAGTTAAGAAACGTCATATAAAATATATAAATATTATTTATGTACCATACATCCCCAGTACATCTACTGTCATGTGAAAATTATTTAGGGATTTCCGTCTCGTACTTGCAACAGTTCAATTAAATAAATTTGTTTTTATCAACATTTTTTTTGTCTATCCCTCTTAAGGGATCATAAAAACATGTACCGAAACAATAAAAAATCATGACTTTTTAATAGTTCTTTGTGTACAAACATTTACAAGACATTTTGCAGTTTCTTCAAGCATTTTTAGGAATTCGTTATATCCAATAATATAGTGATCTCTATTTTCATAAATTTTGGTATAGACATTTAAGAAGTTGTAGTATTTGATTAAAATTTTTAACTATTGTTATAAACACCATATTAATTAGTCATCTACCTAACTAATGAAGAAGTATTGCCAAAATCAGAGGAGAAATGTGTCACATTTACCGAAAATGTCCCACATCTAGATATTCGATGAGAAAGGTGAATCTTGACGACTAAAGATTGATTTATAAGATGGTCAAAGTAGTTCAGTATTATTCTTATCATACGTAGCCGGGCAATATCTTGTTGAGAAACTTAATTTGAAAGCATCCTAAGGTAGAATGTCACAAGAAACTCTGGAATGTATGTACCTGCACCTAACGAAGATTGGAGGAGATTTGCCGGAAACAATACCGTAACTCCTCTTAATAACACCAACATAGTGAAGAACATGCCTTTCCACACCAACAGGATAAAAGTTATGCCTTTGCACTAGAAGGTGTTGATCAGGTCATGTACCTTCATGCTCATCCTTTGTGTAGGCTTGAATGAACAAGCCTATAAAAATAAACACAGGGAAAATGGTTTGTTATTCATTCATTTTCCGGTTTTTTAGTAAAATAAATAACCGATTACATGTAGAAATAGCAACACTCGATAACATTTACAATTATGTAAAATCTCCAGGCTTTTTCGCTTTCCTGAAGACATGCTTTTGGAAGACTGCCAACTTTATCAGATCTCTTTCTGCTTTTGGCAATACTTTCCCAAGTAGATTGGAACAGAATATTGTTAATCTTATTACAAACATGCCAAGAAAGTAAACTGAGACAGAATTACATTAGGTGTTCAATTTTTTGTGACAATTAATATATGGCATTTTGGGGAACAAAAATACATCTATTGTGGTCTATAATTTTTAATTACGACTACGACTATTACGACGACAGAAGACGCTCTAGATTGGCACAACAAGGCTATATATGATCCTTAGAACTTGGTTAAATATCCAGAGAAAGCTTCTGATGGCCTGTACGTTAGTGTATTGACTGAAGCTATACAAATTTAGGCGAGATTAGTATGGAAAACGGACCATCCATCGATTAGGATGTAAAATCGTTGGTTCCTTGTTTAAGCTATGTTAGGCAAGTAAAAGATTATCCCTACAACAAAGTGAGGGTTCGAAAAAATGTCTAGGTTGGAAATTGCTCGTCTACCGACATCGGTAGTAGCAGAAATAGACATAAAAGGAAAATAAAAGAAAATTACCCTTTTTTCGATTGTGAATAGAATATTTAGGAACATCAGATACCAGAAAATTAAAAAGCACTAAATTTCCAAAAATGCTTCCTTTGTTTGCTACTCTATTTGGAGAAATTTGGACCAGGGAAAGACGTTTTGTTTCATCTACTACCAGGAAATTATAAAGCATTACATTTCCAGAAATGCTTCCTTTGTTTGCTACTGTATTTGGATAAGGAAATCTGATTACCATGTATTTGGACCAGGTAAAGACGTTTTGTGATGACCATTTAAGAACGATGTTTAAAAAACAATATTTTTAGAAGAAGACCTCTCAAAAACATTTATTTAGGAATAAAAACAAAAGTTGGTGCAATGATGTAATAAACAAAATAATTACTTATTGAAAACACGTATATCAGTTATATCTTCAATTAAATTAAATTGCAAATCTGTCTATTTCTTATTGAAATAAATTCTGTTTCAATAGTAAAAGTTGTACAGTATATCTAAAAGAAAATAAAAACATACAAAACAGGCTTTTTATAGTTATTAAGAAATTTATTAAATTTCTATTTAGTCTTGTTAGCTCTGGATATCTATCTACCTTCCGCAAAAACTTGGCATTTCGATCGATTTAAGAGAAAGGTTTTCTTATTTATTGTACAGTTGCTTCGTTTAATCACCAGGTAACGTCGAAGTTGGCAATTTTTTTTTAAACATTTCTAAGAATTGTCGTCATGTATTTTTCATACAAATTTGATTTGTCATACAAATTGTAAATTATTTGATAATAAAATCGAATGCCTTATGATATTCAGAAACTTGTAATCGATTGTTTCTTTTTACGAAAATTATTAAAAATGGTTACCATTTTTACTAACACATATAATTCAAGTAACTAAAAAGAAAGTAATAAATTGCTCTCTTTCTGTAAATTGGAACAATCAATATCTTAAATTATTTTTTTTATTTTGACTCAATTATGTGGTAGAAAATCATTTCCAATATTTTTGTGAAACAGTAACCGATTACAACGTTCTGAATTTCACAATATTTCACATTTGAAGTTTTTATAAAATAAATTATAATTTTAATGGCAAATCAAATACAGGGTGATCGATTTATTTGAAATAAGCGAAACTAGATTAGTCACTTTTGAACAGCCTGTATAATTTATAAAATTATAAGTACAAAAGTGATTGTGTACAGAAGGTAGAGAAGTATCAAACAATCTAGCAGCAGCATTGTTATCCGACTGATGACTGATACTGATATTGAAATATTAAAAAAAAAATTGAAAATTTATGCAGAAATCAAAAATTTTATAAATTTCCGTTTAAAATAACGCTACCCGATGGATACATCCATAAATATTTTCCTTTAAAACAGTAGTGTCGATAGCTCCATAAGTACTACAAATTTTCATACTTCAAACATTTGTTGCTGCTGTATTTTGCATGTATCTTAAAAATTTTCCATATTTATTTAGATATATGTATTTAGCAATTGACATTACGATATAGTTCAAAAGTTGAACCAGTCAATCTCAAAACATGAAGCGATTTAATGATTAATTTAAAATTCATTTGACCCCTCAATAAAACTAAATTAGATAGATATATATTTGCAAAGACTTGAGCAATATGGAAAAAATAAAGAAATTTTATAAGACTGTTTCTATATGATTTCTACCTATATGTATACCAAAGTATATATAAATATTTTCAATAATAGAATTAATAATGAAATGATTTTTTAATGTAAGATTGAAGATGACTTACCTATACCTACTAAACTTGGCGTACTTCTTCCAGTCCAGAGGGTTAGATTTGTACGACTTCATCACGTAGCTTACCAACTCAATATTCACTGTATCACTTTCAAAAATCAGATTAAGCTCTTTTATTAAATCATCCAGGCAATCTATGACAGGTAAGGTGTTGCCCAAATGTTTATACAACTTAAATTCATAGCTTGCCTCATTGTTGATATTGTTATTAATTACTTTTTTGCACACCGACATTTTAAAATTCAGATTTAGCCTTCGTCACTTCACACTAACAGTGGACTGATCTTCGCATCAATGAACCGTCTTCCCGTTTAAGAAATGACCGATAATCTCAATAACAACATTATCTTGGGTCAATTGTTTCAAAATAGATGTTGAAATAATACCAGAAAATACTGCCGCTGAAGTACTTTTTTTAATGTGAGCTCTCAGCGAAAATACTGCCTTATTGACATCGGACTTACGACTAATGACGGATGTCTTCAGCTGTCTGCCAGTAAACCAAGAGAAATGATGTGAGCGTGCATTAGACCAATGCTGTAACTGATGTGAAAACTCGATTCTTCAATGAAATTTCTAGAGTACTTGGTTCATCGGCCGGAATGGGAAAGGGTAATGCTTAACTAACATTTCCCTGTTTAGAAATTCTTTAACAAGTGCATCTGTGCGAATTCAAAGATTACAACTGGCTCGAAATTTTCCGTATATGTATTTTTGGTATAGAATAATTATACAATAATTATAAATATATACAGAGTATTTTATGACGAGCTGTACATAATATAATAGTAAATCTGTACAAAATTACCACAGAAAAAAATTTTGCATGGTTTAAAATTTGTGGTAAATAATTTGTTTTTGGTATACCTTATACCTACTGAAAATCAACAAACTCTTCAAGTTGTAATTTTACAGTTTTAGGGGTACGTCTTATTTCTATGGCTACTCAGAAGTCAATGAAAAAAAAAAAAAACATTTTTAGTTTTTTTGTTACATTTTCCTCAACATTTGAATTAACAAAGAAATTCTGATAACACATCAGTTTTTCAATATATTTTAACGATGAAAATGTATACAGTAATGATTTTCGTTATTCTGTTGTGTATTCAATAATACCACAATTTTTTACTGTCATTTTATATGTATAGGTACATTCATAAAAATTTTTTCTCCAACCGTCATAAAACAATTATATTTTTTGACTGTCAGTCTTTAAGGTTGACATTGTTCTTACTGAGAAAAAAATGGAATCTTAGCAACAAAATTATTGACTTTTAATCCTAGGAGCTAAAGTTGATATCTTTAGATTATGCCTCGCAAATACAAAATTTGCTCGCCACAAAAGTAACACTTTTAATTCTAATATAACAATATACTATTATCTAAAATTTACATTATATTATATTGTTGGTTATTTTGACGGCACATAAGTTTAAATGTAAAATAAATTACCTTATAATCATTCAATAATGTACCTAATTGTGCATTATGTACGTAGTATTAGCAATATATTCCCAGACGACAAGCATTAAGTTCGGGAATGTGCGTTTACTACGACGGCGAGGCACACATTATTTTTGCCAAAACCCTAAAAATATTAATTACCTAATAAGTACTAAAAAAAAATTATTTCGTACCTAACTACAATCTAATTTCTTATGTAATTGTTTCCTTGACGATCATTGTTTATTTATTGTTGTGATACCTACAAGTATTTTTGTAACGGGTTGAAATAATCAATCCCTGTGACATTTTCGGCTAATAGTCGAGGAAATAAGGCAATGAACCTCCGAAATCTGTGCAGTAAGATGGATCGTGATGCGGTTTTTTGCATTCGATTCGTTAGAGTGTCCAGAAAGTTTGTGACCCTATGTGATCAATGAGAAATGAAAATTGCATCGGTGCATAAGAAAAATGCATTCTAAAAATTGCATCTCGAAGAGTTGAAAATATTGATGGAAATGCTATTTTGCTATTCGGGGGTTTTTGGGGTCGCTGAACACGAATATCACGACGACAACGCTCTCCGAGGTACCTAATGCCCAGGGTGGCCGGTTTCCATGTCGTCTCCTGGAGTTTTGTGGCTATATGGAGACGAAAATGGTTTGAATCCATCAACTACCTGGGTACTAGGTACCTCGAGGACCGTTACCGTCGTGATATTCGTGTTGAGCGACCCTAAAAACCCCGTGGTAACGAGTTTCGGCTAAGTTTATAACGAATTTCCACAAAACTCCAGGAGACGACGTGAAAACCGGCCACCCTGGGCACTAGGTACCTCCGAGACCGTTGCCGTCGTGATATTCGTGTTGAGCGACCCTAAAAACCCCGAGGTAATGAGTTTCGGCTAACAATATGTTTATAACGAATTTCCACAAAACTCCAGGAGACGACGTGGAAACCGGCCACCCTGGGCACTAGGTACCTCCGAGACCGTTGCCGTCGTGATATTCGTGTTGAGCAACCCTAAAAACCCCGAGGTAATGAGTTTCGGCTAAGTTTATAACGAATTTCCACAAAACTCCAGGAGACGACGTGGAAACCGGCCACCCTGGGCACTAGGTACCTCCGAGACCGTTGCCGTCGTGATATTCGTGTTCAGCAACCCCAAAAATCCCCGAGTAGCAAAATTGAACTCATTTCTGTCAATATTTTCCGAGTTATAAATTTTTCATATTTTAACTCTTCGAGATGCAATTTAAAAAATGCATTTTTCTTATGCAACGATGCAATTTTCATTTCTCATTGATCGCATAGGGTCACAAACTTTCTGGACGCTCTAACGAATCGAATGCAAAAAACCGCATCACGATCCATCTTACTGCACAGATTTCGGAGGTAAGGCCGTTTTTAATGCTTTATTTCCTCGACTATAAATACACTCGCGTTAAACAGTTAAAATTGTATTGCGGTACATTTATTTTTTCTCATCACTCCTTAACTTTTCGAAAAAATTCAAGAGATCAAAAAGTTAGTAAATGAATGGGGCTTTTTAGATATATTTAGTAAAAGGAAAAAATTTTATCAAAAATAAATTAGAAGAAAAAATGTCATGGGTTGATTATTTCAACACCATCAGGGTTGAAAAAATTTCAAAAAGTGCAGTTTTTTGGCAGATACCTAATGTTCACCAAGTTTGGTTTCTTTAGCTTGATATGCATGGAAGATAAAAAAGAAAAACTATTTTTTTTTGAAATTTTTGAAAATTTTTGGTTAACTTTTTCAAAAAATTTTATACGATTATATTATTAATTTTTATCAGAGAATCGCCCCTACGAAAGCCGGGACTCGTGATAGATTATTTGTTAGTTCTCGGAACGGATGGGCTAACTCAGTCAACAATAATAATTATTGAAAAGTTAAGGGTCTTCAAGTAGGATTAGCGTCGTCATAAAGTCGTCGAGAACGGGTATCTCTTGTCACCGGGAGTAATAAATTTTCAAAGCTCGACCATCGCAGACTTTAGGGGAAGACCTCATGAAATTTAGCAATGATTTTGAACAAGTAGACTTAGGTCGTTAGGGTCATGTGTTAGGCATCTGTTATCGACTAACTGCGTCGGTTCAGCACATGGTGAAGGAAAAAATCGATATTTCTAATACCGCGTGAAATACATTCGACGTAGGAATTCCAAGACATTTAAATAAGTTGTTAGAATGTTGTGAGGAAAATAATAATAGATCAAATACTTGGTTTTTAGGCGGATTTTCCAAGCTATAAGAATTGATTAAATGAGTTTGACTAATCCTTCCCGTGTTGCTATAGGTACGGGGTCACAAGAGGACGGTGTAGGGTTACTTGTAAGTTCAGTTTAGTCTCAAAATTATCCATACTATTGTAAATTCAGTCAATTAGGTATCAACATGGTACAGTTAAGCCATTTCAACTCCCGATATTCAGAGAGCCCACCAATAAGATAAGAATAGAAACTTCTGGACCCAACAAATGGATGTGTCGAAGTGAGGTGCCGAATTCAGGAGAGATCTCCGAAAAAAGGCAGTTTCTCATTGGATTCCACACAGGGCAGTTTTCTTAATTTTAGAGTCTCGGGTTAATTTAATAACGGATAAAGTCTTTCCAAATTTTGCTATGAATTCGCGTTGGGTTCCCTTAATCTCGGATTGCGTTGTCGCATGTAAAGTAATCAATAATGTTTGTTCGAATCCGCTGTGTCTTCATTATTTTGTTTGTGTTTTCTTATTGTTATTAAAACCCTTCCTGGAAAGTTTTGGTGTTTTCTTGTTCTTCCAACTTAAGTGCAACCCTATACAACCAACCACTTGAATACATTCTACTTGAGCGACGTACGGTAAGTGTCTGGAATTTATTATCTGAACGTACAACATTTCTAAGTTGCCACGTATTAATTAAAGTGTAGATGATAAAAATTATAAACTCCCTTTCGAGAAGTTAATAGTAAATTCCTTAGAAATCCAGTATCGTTATAATACTAGTCATAACGGTAGATAGATAAATAAAGAAATAACCCCCCAGCACAGAAGATAAAACAATCAGAATTATAAGTTGGCGTGGAGGGGGTATTCGCGCAAATCGGTGCACGCACCCCCCACTTTTGGTATGCGAACAAAGTGGCGTAGTTACAAATGCATTTTAGCCATTTTATGAGCCTGTTTGTCGTTTGTTATCCCGAGCGTTGAGCATTGGCGTCGTTTTACGTGATTTATTTTTTTGTGGTGTAAATAAATGATTGTTCGAGTGTATATATAATTATTTTATAAGGTACTGTAAAATTCAGGACAAATTAAGTGTTAGAAAATAAAAGACAATATAAAACCTAGGAATTGTGGTGTTGAAAAGAAATATGGCGTTTCCTAATTTTGATTTACTTTTTTAAATGTTGTTTACAACAATCTGAAAATAAATTAATTTTTTTTTAGTTAATAAAATGTTTTACAATTTAACTGTTTAATGTGATTCGTAAGAAATTAAAATTATAGTCTTAAATGTAAATACTGTTGGTAGATAAATGTCTTCAGCCCATTCAATGGTAAAGTCCTCTTTCAATTTAATATTTTGTTATGCCGCTTATGTGAGCAAAAAAAATTCAACTTAATTTTTCCCGAAAATGGTATATGCTTCCGAATTTCGACAAGTATGCCTTTTTTGTAGTATGATGCTTTAGAGAGTTTACAGAACCGTTTAGAAATGTAATAAATTTTGACTTTTAACATATTTTTTTGCAATTACCTGTATCGGCGACACTGCTTTTCAGAAAGAACCCGTTTGCAAATTATTCTTAACGCACAGTTGATAATTACTCGTGTACAAATTTTTATATATTTATCTTTACCCTATTTAAAGATAATTAAGGAAAACCATTTGGAAAGTAACTTCAACACACTGTATCTCAAAAATAGGGCGTCTAAGAAAAAAACGTTACATGAACTATCCCCATTATTTTACCAAGAGGAACTTGCACACAAGTTTTTCCTTTTCTACATTTTGTACTGAAGTCGACAATATTTTTATG